AAGTAGGTGCTCCTCATAATTAATATTTTATAAATAAAAATAAATTCTGTGATTTAAACCAACTTTACCTTGTGGTTTTACCAAAACAACAATTCCTAATAGAAATAAAGCAATTTTTTATTGATTGGCTAAGTTAAAGATAAATAATAGAAAATATAAGAATATACAATTGTTTTATACAATAATTAATACTCATTTATATTTTATATACTACTTTTAATAACTTTTTTACAATACAAAAATAACAATAATTAATTTTAGATAAAGTTATTTATCAAATTTAGAGATGGCAATTTTCCCCATTTCCCCAATCCCCGTGGAGATCTGCCCCAAATGGGAGGGGGGTGGGGATGATTTTCCTCCCGTAGGGATGGAGATGGGGAAATTTTCATCTTCGTTGGCAGGGATGACACAGGGATAGGGAGAGCACTCCTTGCCCCGCGGGGACTTCGATCCCTGTCCCATGGGATTCCCGCTAATATATGTATATATACGCATATGTTTATATATGTATATATGTATACATATGTCTATATGTTAATATTTTTAAAAATATGGTTGAATATGTTTGAATCATTTCTAATAGGATTGTAAATTTTAATTATTTTATTTTTAAATAAAATAAAAACAAAAAAATAATGGTTGACATTATAAAGAATCACGGGGAGTGGGGATCCCCGTGGAAACGGGGATTGGGAGAGGCTCCTCGTCCCTACCCCGCTCTATTGTCTTCCTAATCAAATTAATGAAACTGACCAATCCAATTTCTAGTATTTCCAATCGATTTTGGTTCAACAATTTCCTAACCCGAATGGGTTGGATTTGTTTTGCTTTGGCCATTTGTAAACTGACTCAAATCGAATGATCCAACCATAAATATATATTAATATTTTATATTTTAAATATATTTTTTAATACAGGAAAGTAGGTTGGGCCTCTTTGCGCATTAGGGGATTTCAATTGTATTGTTGATGCTACTAAAAAAATGAGGGGTTGGACTATAATATGGAAAAGATATGATATCCGAAAAACATTTGACCAATCAATTAGAATCATAAACTTGGCAGCGAATTAAGTGTTATTTATCAAAATTCATGGGTGAGTTTCGATTGGTTAAAACTCTTTCCATACCATATCTTTTCCATATCATATAGATTTTCCCAAAAATGGGAGGTCATTGTCATTCTCTTGAAGGTGTTGTGATTCAAAAGTATAGATGACTACCAACTCTTGGATTTGGGTTATCAAGGCCCATAGTTTACATGGTGTAACAACCGGTTTGGGGATCATGTATTAGCAAATGGGCACTGGATTTGGGTTATGAAGGCCCATAGGTTACACGGATGGCAAGTGATCATTCCATCATATTACTTCGATTTTCTAATCATATACATATTTCGACAAGGAAGTTTTTTGAAACAATCTGGTTTGAAGACCCAAATTTCAATGATAATTTCAAAGACACTTAGGCTTCCACTCTGGGAACTTTCACAGATAAGTGTAATGCTGTTATCCATACTTGTAAAATGAGAGGTGGAGCTACAGGTTCAATTCGACAACGTATTAACAAGATTTAAAAACAACTACAACAAATGCAATGTGCCCCACCATTGGCTACAAATTTTTTAGAGGTCTCTCATCTCCGTGGTAAACTGGAGAAGTGGCTTGATAAGGAGGAATTGTATTGGATGCAATACTTTCATGTACTAGCTTCAAATAGAAAGAGACAGAATACAATCCACTAGCTTAAAAATGAAGATGGTATTTGGACCTCGTCTTCCCATACAATTTCTTCCATCTTAACCTCCTATTATAAAGATTTGTTTACTACTTCTCCCATACAGATTTTCACTACTGCTGATAACAGTGCATTAGTTTCCATTCCTAATGAGATTGAAATAAAAAAAACTCTTTTCAATATGGAAGCCCTTAAAGCACCGGGTCCGGATGGTATGCATACAGCAGTGTTTCAAAATGTGGGTTAACTTTGGCTGTTGGACCCAACAGCATAGGCTGTTGAGACAATTTTTGGGCTGGGCACGTTTTGGGCAGTTCACCTATTCATGCCCATGCTTTGGTATTTGGTAAAAATAAATTAACATGCAATTACTGATTTACCCATTCTCAGAATAACGTGGCATTTCCAGAAATTCTCTCAAAGCAGAGGTTGTTGGCCCCCAACAGCTAAAGTTTTTCCTCAAAATGTTGGGTGACGACGAGAATGGGAAAATTAGTAATTGCATGCTTTGGGAATCCAGATTTGATTGAACCATTCAATCAATCTTTTATTTGTTTAATTCCTAATACATCAGCCCCGGAAATTGCTTCTGATTTTTGCCCCATCGGGCTTAGTAATGTCTCCTATAATCTCATCACCAAACTTCTTGTTAACAGATTGAAGTCGCTTCTCCAGAAGATAATCGGTCCATGCCAAAATGCTTTTTCTCCTGGTCAACAAATAAATGACAATATTGTCATGGCAAAAGAAATTGTTATAAACAAAAGGGGAAGTCCTCTTACTTCCCAAATGAAATTAGTTCTCTCCAAGGCCTATGATAGGGTGGAATGGCCATTTCTGATGAAGATTCTACGGTCCTTGGGCTTGATTGAAAAGTTCTGTACAATTGTACATAGGGGTACAAGTCAGATTGGCTTGAGTTAACAGTTTACACTATTTTGGGCTCGGACTTTCGGTTGAGCTCATTGAAATTTTAACAAAATCCCAACCTTAACCCAAAAAAGTTGCACCCCTAATTGTACATCAATGCTTATCGACTATTAACTTTTCCATTCTGTTAGATGGACATCCAAATGAACTTTTTCAGCCATCTAGGGGCCTTCGTCAAGGTTGTCCCCTCTCTTCGTATCTGTACGAAGGTCTTATCATACCTCCACTCTCTATAGTTAGAGGATGGAAGACTTTGAGGTGTACCTCTTGGAAGAACCGGTTTAAGGTTCAACCACTTATTTTTTGCTAAAGGCATGCTGTTATTTAGTAAGTGTACCTCTTTTGAAGTTGATTGTTTGAAGGAACAACTAACGTCCTTTTGTAGATGATCTGGCCAGATTATAAATTTTGCCAAATCAGCCATTCATTTCAGTGGAAACGCCCATCGAAGAGTAAGAGATTTCTCAAGGCTTGGGGGTCTACCCTATGTGCAAAGATGAGCTTTTATCTAGGGGTACCCCTCCTAAGAGGCAACTTTAAGCCAGCAGATTGGTTTCATATAGTAGAACATGTGAAGACCAAATTAATTGGATGGAAGGTTCCATTGCTTTCACAGGTCGGATGCACTGCACTTATCCAATCCACCCTGGAAGCTGTACCTTCCTTCCAAATGCAGACTCATTTCCAAAAGTGACATGCTCCTAACTTGATAAGCTATGTTGGAATTTCTGGTGGGGTGATATGAAAGGTAAAAAACAAGTTCACATTTCCAAATGGGATGTGATGCTGAAACCCAAATCTGAAGGTGGTCATGATCTCGCATCTACTTCTGAATTCTGATTGCAATAAGGTATTGTTAGAAAAAAAACAGGTTGGCGGTTCTTGCAAGGTTCTGAATCATTACGGGTTAAAATACTTATTGCCAAAGGAATTCTGGAGAATTTTGCTCAGTTCGAAATCATTATTGGCTAAAGGAACATTGTGGTTAATTGGAGATGGGTGGAACATTGACTTTTTCTCTCATTTGTGGAGTGGTGTGGGCTCTTCTCTCCAACAGTTCTATCTAGATACCCTTTTTTGTCACGAGCTGCTTATTTTATTGATGACATCTCACACACCTGGAATATGGATACACTGTGTTCTACTTCCAAACTTGGTTACTAAAATTCAGAGTGTTCCTCTTTTGTTTCCCAACTCAAAGGTGGCGGACAGACTAGTATGGTGTAAGACTCCTCATGGATGCTTTACATGTTCTTCAACACTAAAACTGTCATCTTCCTCATCTCCTAGCTCCTCCTCTTCACAATATATAAAGGCTGACATGCAATGGACTCAATTGTGGAAAGTTGGAAACACAAAGTAATGCCACCTGCCCTTAAGATGTTTTTATGGAGAAGCACTTTAAATATTCTCCCGTCTATTGACAACTTGCAGAAAGATAGTTATTCTATTGACGATGCATGCCCTTTATGTTCTACTGCTAATGGGACTCTTCTACGTATACTTTTTCTCTACCCTGTTTCTTGCAGTTTTTCTGAGGTTAGAGATTTTCTTTACTTCTGGTGGAGTGAAGATATGAAGAGTGAATCTGTTGATCGAGTTTATTGCTTTCAGGTGCTATTATTATGCGGACTATTTGGCAAGCCAGGAATGCTAAACTCTTCGATGATGTTGCCTTTGATCCTCATATAGTTTTGTAATACTCTGTGTTTGACAACTACTCACACAGAAGGTTCCCCACAATTGCAAATGCCTGGTCCTATCTCTTGGTTTAAACTAGACAGACATATGTTTAAACTTAACATTGATTCTGCATTTAAATCTAGGAGAGTGGCAGCAGGTTTTATTCTGAGTCTTTGAGATCATATTGGATCGCTCATCTTGGCAAGAACAGTCCCGCTTTCTTGTGATAGTTCTCAAATGGCTGAAGCTCTAGCTTTGTTGGAAGGCCTGTCACTGGCGTCTCAGATGTTATCAAATGTGATTTTTGAAGGTGATGCTGAAAATGCCTATAAACTCTTGTTGGTTGATCATATTGATCCACCATAGCAGCTAATTCATGTCTTAGCAACCTGCAGGAGTTCACTTCTAAACCTTTCTAATTGCTTGGTGAATTGTGTTTGTCGCTCAACCAATAAGGCTGCCCACGCTGTAGCACAGAAAGGTCTGGGTCGGCCTTATACTTGGTATTTTTCTCCAGATATTTTACATCCTATTCTTGTAAGCGATATTTCATCAAGCTAAAGTAATGAAACAGACTACGAGCTTCTTCTCAAAAATAAAATAACTAAAAGCACTTAAGCACCCCTGGTTTTAATTCAAGAATTTCATCTTGAGAAAAGACAGATTTTCCTTGCTTTATCTCTAAACAAATAATAACAACAGTGAACAATTGTTGGTGAGACAGGCAGCAGGGGTTGCTGAGTTTGGCCATTATGAAATATTATCTGTTTACATATAACATTAAAATACCAAAAATTAAAAAAAAAAGAAATATACATTTCTGTATTAACTAATCAGTGGTTTTCCCAAGTTTAACTGCATATCAGGTCTCCTCTCTCCGAACCTGGAGAACTCCTCAGGCAACGGGATGTTTAGCTCTGAGCAAACTAACTCTATTATTTTCCCAGTTACAGTCCCCAATGACATTTTGTTCAAGGTAACCGCAATAGCAAACTTATTTTCTACGTCACAGAAGCCAGTTGACCCCCCGATGCCTGAGTGCCCAAAACTAGTTAGAGACCCATCCTTCAAAGTAAACCTCCTAAACCCTAGCCCGAATTTCCCATCTGGTAAGGCAAAGTTCCCATAGTCACCGACACCCATGAATGCATCGTGTATCCTTGGGTTATTAAAAATCCTAGTTACATTGGTTTTATGATTGTGCCTGATATCACTGTCAGTGTAGTAAGGTGTATTATTACTAGAACTGCTTGTATTATTGTCATCGTTAGCAAGCCTAGTGTACTTGTCATTGCTAGTCTTTTTTCCACCATTACCATTCCTGGGATCTCTGCGGCGGTTGTAGTTATGATCAGCTAACCTAGCTCTGTGATTCGGAACTGCTACCTCGCTTTTTCTGCCTTTCTTCTTTGGGGTTTCCAATGACGGAAACTTTGGGATATGAAGGTGGCTGCCGAGTGGTGGCTTCGAAGGTGTATGTGGTGGTGGGATCATACCGCCAGCAGCAAGTGTTGCATAGTAGCGTGCTAGTGCTCGGGCTGAGCAGTGCCCATTGGCAGCAGGTATCATGGCACGGCGCATGAACAATGAGTTGAATAGAGCAGGGAGGCCAGTCGCAATCTGAGAGATGTTGTCTGGCTGGAAGGTGGATGGCAGGTCAGGTCGGTTGTTAATTGTGGAAATCCTGTTGAGGTCCTCCAAGTCTAATGTAAGTGTTGCCAGTCGAGACTCCACACCTGTAAATGATGAGAATATATCAAACCTAATTTCGAGAACAACAACAAATCTGAAAGTAAAACAACAAAAACCCCAGTGGCCCCAAATAAATAAAAGGGGACAAGGAAAAGAAGAATGAAGCCTTGAGAATGAATTCTCTTGATTTCAACATTTTCTATTGAAAACTACTTGAACTTAAAATGCTACATAAAGACAGAATTTTGATTATGCCTGGAGGAATGCCAATATATAATTCGCCTTCAATGTTGAGAGGGTGAATGATTGCTTCTTCCAGAACCTCCTGAAATTTCCTTCCAGATACATGCTGTTTGATCAAAATGCACCGTTAGAACATAGAAAAAAAAACTCAAAACAGTGGCAAACAACACAGCAATCAAAACGAAAATGACATACCCATCCATTGAACAGTTTAACAATGATCGGGCTTTGTTTAATCCCCCCTTTTTCATTGGATAGTGAAAATATAACTATTGAAATAAAATATAACAAAATCATGTCACCCCTTCATTGGATAATTAAAATCAACCATACATTTACCAGAGAGGTTTTCTGGTGATAGTCTGACACAGATGGATATCACTCTTTTGTGTGTAGCTGAATGAATTTGTTTTCTCTTAATATATTTAAGTTAAAAACGAATGCATAAAGAGATTCAAAGTCGGGCTGAAAATTTCAGGTCAAGCTCAAATTGAGGTGTTGGAAATTCATCCAATTCAACTCCATCCAGGTTAGGATCATGTTTTTGTCCTCGTTAGGCTTGGGTTGAGTCAAGTTTTCCTTCACTCCCCAGCCTATTGACAAAGGCTTGGTTCAAATCTAAGTTGCTATGTAGCTATCCCATGAACAATGATGATAAGGAGCATCTTTCTTAATCCAGTTTAGGAATGTTGTACAAATTGACTAGAGTCATGTAAATTGGAAAATAATTCTGTAAGTTAATTAGATAGGAAATATTACCTCAATAATTCCACCACACAACCAACCATAGGACAGATAGTGATAAAGCTGCTCATAGCCAGGTTCGGTTTCAGGAACTGACATGGCGATTTGGTTCAAACATTCATGCCAGTCAGTCATTAATAAAGGATTTTCCCTTGTGATGTCAGCCATTGCATTATGCAAACCAGATGTATGGTTTAGCACATGGTAGACCTAGAAAAAATCCAAAAGAGAAAAAGAAAAATAAAAATAAGAAAGTAGCTGTCATGATGATAGATTGATGATGCAATTTATAAAGATTTTTTTCTAAATAATACCTTTATGAATTCTTTTTTATTTGTTCTGAATTCTGGCCAAATGTTTGCAACATTTTCCTCAAGCTTCAACTTCCTGTGAGATAAAATACCGAGAATAGTCATTTCCTAATTCCTAATTTATTTTTTTTAAATATGAGATTTCAAGATAACAAGGGATAAGAGCAAGAAGACAAAGGCTTTGAACATTAAGCAAAATAATTGCATCTGGATAGGTCAGTAGGTTCTTTTCATTCTCAGTTCTGTCAGGGAAAATATTGTACAAGACAAAAAGATATGAAATCAAGACTACCATATTATAGAAGAGCACTGATGGACTGGGAGTCCCTTGAACCAACAGTCCTATGATTCCAGCTTGTCGAAGGGGAGATAATGAAGTCGAAAAAGGTGTTTGTAAAGAGCATTGGGTTGAAACTTGGCAATGGGATAAAATTTACATTTGAAAGATGTGTAGTGCTCTGACCACCCTCTATGTGAGGTCTATCCAACATTTTTTCATAATTTTACTAATGGAGAAGCATTGATGAAGGATTTTTATGAGCTCATTGGGTCTCAGGTTGTATGAAATCCTAATTTCATATGGAACTCGAATGACTAGGAGATTCTGAAGCATCTGCTAGAAAGGTTAAGTGGCTGCCACATTTTTTTCATCAATAAGTGACTGCGACATTCAAACTGATCATACTGACGTTAAGAGTCTGTTAGGGAAAATCTGTGGTATTCTCTACAAAATCTTGCTACAGGGTTCTTATGGGTGTTCTTGATCAGCCAACCCCTTGGTGGAGTGTGCAAATCTCCTCTAAGGTCACCTTTTTTTTCACGTGGAAGACAGTGGCATCCTGTCAGCCTGGACAGTTAGTCGGTTCTCAGCCAAAATGAAGATTTTGTGGAACACCTTACCTTTTACCCTTTGTTGGACAGTTTGGAAGGAAAGGAATATCAGGGTGTTTGAAGCCCAGGCATCCTCTTATGATGTGTTGATCAAAAAAGTTGGATGGATTTTGAGATGATGGGTGGGGGTACTTGCTATTTTTTGGTGTCACCTTTGAGAATTTTAGAGATCAGTGAAATGACATTATTTTTTCATGCTTAGTGGGGTTCTTGTATTTTCGGGTTAGTTCTGATGTACATGTTTTGTGGGGACACACAATCTTACACTGCAAATCTGTATATGATATGAGGGCTCCTCACCCTTTGTAAGTAATGCAATACTCTCATACTTATTGAAAAAAGAAAAAAATGTAAAACCTAAAATATATTATGTAATTAACAGTAAATTGAATGTTAACTCATGAAAACATAAAAATGATTGAAATGCAGCTAGGTTAGGTGATGCACATACAATGAGCCTCACTTGTAAACCCACTAGACGCACATTTTAAAATACCATAACCAAAAGTTTAAGATTATGTCTTCCAAGTTCCAAGAAAACCACAATAGCATGCCCACTATTATGTACAATGGATTCTAACTCGTCACATGTGTCATATTCAGAAAATCCGAACCAACATTTTGTCAGTCCCATCTAAGAGATTAGCCAAGCTAAAAGTCAACTTAAAACATTGATACAACACAGTCTTTTACTTTTAAACTTTTGATGGAGGAAAGGATTTCTCTTACAACTCAAAGCAACTAATACTTAGGTTGTAAGACTTCTGATCATGATGGTCTTTGATGCTGGGAATCTCTAAGTTGAGATTCATCCAAATGTGGGCATCAGTCCTAAATATATGCAACTCGTGATAAGTTCTTGGGTACCAGAACACGTCTTGCATAAAAATGCATCAAAGATTCAAAACATAAATTATGCAATAGAAAATTGTAACATACCCACTGTCAATCAACCAATGCAACATTCCTGCAGTGATCCCCTTTGTTGCAGAAAAAACTGGAAATAGGCTATCAGGCTGGACAGGGCGGGGATCATATTTCCCAAGCACACCGGCAGCAGTGTCGATTATAACTTCTCCATCTTTATAGGCACATACCTAAAGAAGACATGATTATTCATAACTTTTTTTTTGAAGTCAACAAAACAAGGCTAAATTTTTCTTTCTTATTCATTCTTGCCTATTCATTCACTAAAAGATAAGCCAGATAAAATCTTTCCTTTTTTATTTTAAACAAATAAACAATTCATTTTTATTCTAACAAACATTGAAAGAAAAGAAAGTATATACCAGCCATATCCAGATCATTGTTTAGACATACTATACGCACCGTGATGTCTAAGGCTCCAAGCTGCTATTGTTGAGTGAGACAACTTTACAAGTTAGAGGCATGCAAGATGTTACTTATATGGGTGCTATGATGAACCAGCTGGTCACCTGTTAAGTAATTGCAGTTTCTCCTACAGTATATGAACTCATTTCCTTCAGTTCTTCACTAGACAGAGCTCACTACCTGGGGATCTCCAGACTCTATTCTCTTCTTAGACAACCCAAGGTTTAAGTCAAAGGGGTAAATACTTATGGAAGCTAGTCCCACTAGTTCTATGCTGGAGTCTATGGAAAGAATGAAGTTGCAGGATTTTTGATAATAAAGAATCCCTGAAGTCTTTAATTTCTCTAAAGGGGATGGTAGGCTGTAGGCTCCCAATCCTGTTGGGTCTTTCTCTTGTTCCTCTTTTTTTGAATCTTTAATGTCTTCCAACCCTTTTTATCTCTTTTCCTGTGAAGGAAGTTTTGTGTGCCCCTGTCGCTCCTAAAATTGCTTCCTTCTCTTGTGAAGTTTTCCTTGGAAGCAATACTACTTTTGATTTATTACAAAGGAAAAGGCCTAACTGGTATGTCATGTGCAAATTAAATGGTGAGACTGCTTACCACTTACTAATCTCCTGTCCTTTTGTTTGCTGTATTTGGGAATGGTTCTTTGCTTGTTTTGGGTGCAAATGGAACCCCCCATTAGCTTGGACAGGTTGTTTAAGCATCAACTCTTAGATGTCAGAAGAGGAAAGGTAAAATTATGTGGAGGTGTACAAGGGCAGTGGAGTTATGGTCGTTGTGGAAGGAAAAGAATATAAGCATCTTTGATGGCAAAGAACAAATCAAGGAGGTTACTATTGAAAGTATCACAGTGAGGGAAGCACATTTGGCAAAGACAATGGGTTTATTCTTAGATTTCACAATGGACGACTTCTACAGGAATAGGGGTGCAATTGTAGGCTCTTCATTTGGGAAACCAAAGGATAAGAAGGATTGGACACCTCCAGCTATGGGATGGATGAAAATGAACCTTGATGGGAGTAGTATGGAGAATCTGGATTTGTCTAGAATTGGAGGAGTAATAAGAGATGAGAGCGGAAATCTAATTGCAATGTATTTAGGACCAATAGGGGAAAGACACTCTATTAGAGAAGAGCTTATGGATGCAGTGCTTGGAGTACAAAAGGCAAAGGAAATGGGAGCTGATAAATTGGTTGTTGAAGGAGGTTCCAAAATAATTATCAGCTCGTTATTGGAAAGCAAAAAAGCTAAATGGAGTTATAGGAATAAAGTCAGAAAATTTAAATGGTTATCAAGAGGTATGCAACCAGAAATAAAATGGGTACACAGATCAACCAACAGCTTGGTCAATGGGTTAGCAAAGCAAGGGGTTAATAGACAACAGTTGTTTTGGGCTCAAATGTAACAGTTTGTATTAGGGTGAGATACCGGGGGCTATACTCACATTTTCCATACGTATTGTAAAATCACAACCTTTTGTTGTACTGATTTTCTCTAATCTAATGAAATCCTGTTTTCTGTTGCTGATAAAAAATGGAGAGAACTATCATTATATGGGCAAAATCCCACAAGGAGTTAAGGAATTTCAACCATCGACTCCTTTGCACCCACTTTTGTCTCCTCCGTTTCAGCATTTCAGCAGGTTGATTAGCTATTTTTTATTCCTATTGTTGATATTCTCATTTACAGAACCTACACACAGCTTCAGGAAATTCTCCCTCTGTGTTAATATAATTATACTTGTCAAAAATAAATCTTTTCCAAAAATTCTGATTTCCTCTTATCTATTTTTTTTTGTTTCTTGTATATCCTTCAATTGTGTTGTGGAACATGAACTTTCCTAGGAACTGTAGGGACCAGGAAACCTTTAAAGCTATTAATAATTCAAATATTTGAAGACAATTATGCATTTGAAGATTCTATTGCCTGGAGTCTAGAATTTTGTCCTATTAGGTTCTCAAAGCTCTTATTTGGTTGGGACTTATGACATTCAATGAACTTCAAACAAGAACATGAATGCTTTTCCTCCTAATGGTTGTTTAAAGTGGTTGAAGAATGGTAAGTTCAGTAATCGCGATTTATTGCTTAAGATGGAAAATAGGTTTTGGAAAAGAAAGGAGTCCTAACAACACCCATATGTAGTGCCAAGTGAGCAAGGGCATGCTAGGGCGTTCCCTAGAGGCAACACACTACACATTAACCAAATGTAGTGTTGAGTGAGAAAGGGTAATGATATGATGGTCCCTAGAAGCAACTTGCCACAAAAAATGTCTGGATGTGGTGTTAGGCAAGGGTTCCCACATCCTTTTAGACAAGGGTGGGTGAAGAAGTTAGTCTGGAAAACAAACTTTGTTTATCCACTTGGAATGTAGGAAAATTAACAAAAAAATATTATTGAATTAGTGGACACAATGAAGAGAAAAATGATTAATATTGCATGCTTATAGGAAATTAAATGGAAGAGATATAAACTAAAAAATCAATAGCTACAAACTATAGTACATTGGAGAAGTAAATAATAGAAATGGAGTAGCAATACTAGTAGTTAAGGATTGAAAGAAAAAAGAATTTGTAAATGTAAAAAGAGTGGATGATAGAACAACTTTAATTAGACTTATTTTAGGGGATAAAATCATTAACATAATTAGTGATTATGCATCTCAAGTGGGTTTAGAAGAAAATATTAAAATACAATTTTGGAAAAACTTGGAAGGAATAATTCAAGAAATTCCAAGTAAAGCCAAGTTTTTATAGGATGGTATCTAAATGGGCATGTGGAAAAAGATGTGCATGTTATGATATGGTGCATGGAGGGTTTGGGTTTTTTGGAGAAAGGAATGAAAGAGGAGACAATTTTAGAATTTGCAATTGCTTATGATATGGAAATAGTAAACACATTTTAAAAAAAGGATGGACAAGTTACCGGACTTAACAGGCTGGTAAGATAAACAATTTCCTCCTCCCTTAAACCTCTACAGAACCCAAAATCCCAATTTGGTGCCAATGGATTTCCCATAGGGGAGAAGAATTTTGAAACAAGGTCCTTTTTATATTGAGAGACAGAGAATAAAGAAGGGAAGAGGTCCTTCAAAGGAACCTCTCCGACCCAAGTATCCCTCAAAAGAGGATGGAGTTACCAGCACAGACACCGTACTTGACTAAACTATGGAATTGAGGAAGAATAGCATGAATCGTTTTCTACAGAGTTGCTAGAGTTGCCTGCCAAGTGACACCTGTGTCACACCCATTTTTGATTGACCATGTATACTTCCTATTCCCTTGTGCCATAACCACTCTCTCCCCAAGGGCCACCTCCACAGCCACTTCCCTAGTAATATTATCATCATTTATTGTAATACTTTTCACTACTTAATAAAATTATCATTATTATCAAAAAACTAGTACAATTTAAAGATAGACCGGTAGTAGAAGGAAAATTTGGATTTAGGTGAAGACATTAATGATATGTGGCTTGAAATGGTCAACTATATGAAAAAAGTAGCAAATAGGCATTTTAAGAGGATTTAAATACAAATAAAAACGTGATAATGAAACTTGGTAGTGGAATGAAAATTTTCAAAATATAATCAAAGTAAAATGAAAACACTAAAAAGATTAGTAGAAGACTAAGATCATAGAAATCTTAGAACAATTTAAACCCATAAGGAAGTTAAAAGGAAAGGGAATGGAGTTAAATTTAAGGCATATGATGAACTACATCATAAATTAGGCACTTACGAAGGAGAGAAATCATAATTTGGGAAAAATGGGATAAAGAAAAGGCAAAGATTTAAACCAAGTTAGATGCATTAAAGAGGAATGAATGAAAGGTGGAAAAACTATTTTGGAAAATTATTAATTGAAGAACATGTAGAGGGTGTTGGTGGAGGAGCAATTAATAACTCTAAGAACTAAAAATAAATATACATTTATAAAATGAGAATTACCAAAGTGAAGGAGGCACTAAACAAGATGAGGAAGGGAAAGGTAGTATCCCAATAGAAATGTGGAAAGGTATGAGACAAGTAGGCTATTTATAGTTAACCAAACTATATTTAATACGATAATGAAAACAAAGAAAATTCCAGATAAATAGAGAAAGAGCACTATGGTACCTATATTTAAAGACAAGGAGAACATACAAAGTTGGAATAATTATCATGGACATAGTTGCCAAGGCAACACCTAGGCAACAAGGTACCCTTGGAGGCTCACCTCGCCTAATCGCTAAGTAGTTTTGTACATTGTGTTATAAAATACTTTTATATTCTTAATTTATTTTTATTATTTTCTTATTTGTTAGGGTTTAATCAACACAAACATTACTAAATGTTGTATTTTCTTCTTCTTCCTCTTCTTTTCCTATAACAAAATAGGGGTTCAGCCCCAATTTTTTTTGAATTGGGAACTACCTAGGAAATATGGTTATTGAATCTAGGGAACTACCTAGGATTTTTACTTAAAAAAATCCATTGCCTAGGCGGGCGACTAAGTCATGCCTAGGCAGGCACCTAGGTGACTAGGGGACAAGGTGTTCCCTTGTCACCTAGCCTCATCTTGGTGCCTTGAAAGCTATGATCGTGGAATTAAACTCATGAACCACACTATAAAACTTCAGAAGAGAATAATTGAGCAAAGGTTAAGACATGAAAGAAATATTCCAAAATAACCAATTTGGTTTTATGCTAGGGATATCAACCATAGAAGCATCTTGCTATTGAGACAATTGAGAGAAAAGCTTAGAGAGAAGAAGAGAAATCTCCATATAGTTTCATTGATCAAAATAAAGCATATGGTAAAGTCTTTAGAAAGGTAATATAATGTGTTTCGGAAAAGAAAGGAATCCAAAATAGGTATGTGGACCTAATTGAAGATATTTACGAGGGTACAAAAATCAATGTTAAAACACTTGTGGAAGAGACAACAAATTTTACAGTATGGGTGTACATCAAGGTTTGACACTTGGTCCTTATTTATATGGACTAGTCATTGATGAACTAACTAGACATATTCAAAAGGAGGTTCCATGGTGCTTGATGTTTGCTGATGATATAATATCAATTGATGAAACTAGCAAATGATTTAATGTAGAATTAGGTTTATGGAAAACTACATTAGAAACAAGAGGTTTTGAAAAAAAGTCAAGACAAATAAAATATATGTAATGTAAATTTAATAATAATAATAATAATAGGAGTTTAAACCATGGTACACTTGGGATTGGAGACCAACAGATAACTCAATGTAACCTCTTCCATTATAATTCATAACAAAGGAGAGATTGAGGAGGATATTGCCCATATAATTAGAGTAGGATGGGCTAGAAGTGAAGGGGACATCTGGAGTCTTATGTTATAGGTGAATTCCACTTTGGCTAGAAGGAAAATTCTATAAAATTGTTGTAAGAGTGCATAAAAGGTCAACTATGTAGATTAATGAGAACAACTCTGAACGGAACATGTACAAAAGGCATAAAAAGGAGTGCCATAGATGAAGAAAGTGGATACTAAGTTACCAACTGTGGCGTAGAAAAGAATTAGAAAGTGAATAGCAGAAGAAAGGGGGACGACACTCTACCATCAAATAAAACTGTTAGTTATTCAATCAGACCTGATTTACTTCCTGAAATAAAACGAAAAGAGAGAAGAGGGAAGAAAGAAGAAGAAGACGAAGAGATGGTTTGACTGGTCCCAAAAAGAGAAAAAATCAGTCTCCCAGCCGACCAGAATAATATATATATATAGATTTCTAACTTTAAGTACAAAGACCTTTGTGCCCTCTTTATGTATGGGACACCATTCAAACTCAAGACACAATAGACAAAACAACTTTAGGTAAAACATTATGGAATGACTCAGATACCCCTGGACTGTTGACTCTAACAACAACTGGTCATTTATATGTACCTGAATTCCAAGTATTTTATCATCATTGCCTAGCTTAAGTAGAAGCTGTCTGAGTTTAGACTCCACATCAGAGAGCACAGGTGTGTCATATATCCACTGTGAATTTATTGCTGGTCCCTTCTTGATATTTCTGCTAACATGAATATAATTTGAAATAAGAAAGACAAAAAAAAGTGACACAACTAAAATTTAGTAATGGGAAACAACAAATTGAGATTGGAAAACAGCCTCACCCTTGTAAAACAGACTCAGCGAATGGCCTCATTATATCAAAATAAACTATGCGAACATTCATTGAGGATGAAAGACCTTACAGAAAGAAAATTTTCAATAAAATTATGCAAAATCTTGTTTTACAATACCACAACTGAATTCATGTTTAATACAAACCTCGAAGAAGATTTAGAACCCTAGCAAATATCACAGCATCACCTGGAAAAGCATCAACCTGGGGGGAAGAGCTTAATGTTTCTTAGCACTGGATAAAATATACAATAAATTCTAGAACTACAAAATGATAAATAACACCTAAAAGAAGATAAATTCATAAGCAGTTGAATCATATTTTGGACTTACAGGATTAAAACGCTTGGCTTCTTTTTTGTCAAGTTTCATCTTTTCTTGGATGACCTTCATATTCTTTGTTCTTTGCTCAGCCAATGATTTCATGTTTTCCTTAACAAAAGGAAGGAATCAGAACAAGATATAACATGTTGAAGTTGACTGGGCATTCCATTCATACTTACAATGGCTTCACTAGCTGGTGTTGAAGTACGGAAAAACACACTTGTCACCTCCATAGCTTGCTCTGGTATGTCTAAGCGCAATCTAAGCCCCATCTCTGCAAAGGCAGACAATAGTGCAACAAGGTCCCCCTACAAAATCACCACCACAAAAGTTCTACCATCACAAAGGATGCTTTAGATGATTCTTAACTAAAAAAGAGATAAAGTGTTTAGCATGTTTACAGATGTACACCTCAACTACAATTTGAAATAACTTACAGGGTAAACCGATTCAGTTGGCTTGAACTGATATATATACAACAATGTTTAGAGAATCAGACTAAGCATTTAACCAGAAAAGGGAGAGGTTCACCGTTGCCGGACTGGTGGTTGAATTGTGATGACATAATAAACAATAATATTTATTAATTAATAAATAAATATAAAAATTAAAATAAGAAAAATTCAAAAAATAATTGAACATGAAGGAAAGTTAACCCAAAAATTACACCCCGCAATACAACAGGAAAAAAAAACATTTACTTTAACAAGTTGGTCTTAAAAACTAAAATAACACTTCAAGGTTTAAAGCAACAAATGTCCTACATTAAAAATAAGAACATCAATAAGCTAACAAAGTTCAAGATAAATGAGCTAATAATCACCACCATCGTCACTAGTATAATCAACACCAAATTCATCACCAATTGGTCCAATTCCGATAAAATCATTTGTATTCCAAATGATTCCAAAACAAATCCTTTAGGAACCTCCATCACATCATCATCCTCATTATCATCTACAAACATTTTGACAAAAATTGAAATCAAAATTTGTTCTATATTAAATTAATTGCCCAATAAATGGCACTGTTTTAGAGATTCCTCTTCACTGAAAATGGCATCATTTTGTGGGATGATAAGTTAAAGAAAATGAATATTCCTATCATTTTGGGAAAAGTGCAAAAGCTGCGTTTTTAATATTCCTATCATTCTACAGGAGAGCTATGTATCATCCAAACTAATGACACAATTCTGCTTTAAGTGTTTGCTAGCATACAACTTGTCTAAGTATGCTAGAAGTCAATTTTTTCTTCTCTTTTCTAGCAAGCTCTGGATTAAGAGGGTTGGAAGAAAGTTTCTCCTTCCTACACTCACTCCATTCCTTCAGCCAATGCTTATCCTCTTCAGTTTGAGTTACCACATATATATGAATACCTCAGGTTCTTACATTCCATTCCACTCCAACAATGTCAAGGAAATCCTAGTGTTCAGCACAGAATATACAATTATTGGGGAGTCATTGGAGATGCCTGGGGCAGGAAAGGGCACCTCAAAGCTGAAAGGTCTATAACCATAAGTGGTTCATTAGGGCTCAGTCCAATTTGCTTTCAATCCTGCTGAGGCCCTCGTTTTGGCTGAACCAAGTCTTTCCATTTTAGTCCAAACAAGATCACACTACAGACACAATAATAGAAAAGGATGATCATGTTTTGGTGGACAGTATCATCCCCTCTTCAATCATCACAAAATAGAGCTGAGTTGAAGTTGCCTAACACTGACCAAGGTGAATCAACCTAGACAACAATAGCTTCCAAGTTTCTCCAAGGAAATGACCAAGCGATGGGAAGGTTACTATCATAAACAAAGATAAAAAATGAGTTTATAAAATGATTTTCTATAGGAGACCCGACAGTGTGTCACCTGATCAGTCTTCCGAATGGAGTCTTGCCAACCACCAAATTATCCCACAACACCAAATGCACCTCTTGGTGGCACTCATAATTTGAAAGCAACTGCTCATTTCTATTGATCAAGTTTGCAGTTATGGAGGCATTGACTTCATGAACTTTATTCTCCACCACCCCAACAATTCTGAGATCATGTGCAGTAATGAGCTTGCGGAGCTCAAACTGTTTCTCTAGGTTATCCCTAGATATTCTAGTGACCAATATTAACCATTCTCCTTCTGAGGGACACTCCCACGCACATACATATCATATGGCTCAGTTGAAGATTGGTCTTTTGTTATGTCCATTACTTTATTTATTAAGATATTAAAATATGGTTTAGCCACAGTACACCTAAAACTTTTATACCTTCTGTATGGAAATACTGAGGCAAGACACAAGGCATTCCCAAACAAAAGCCTTATTGCCTAAGCAGATATTGACATCAATCTTTGCAGCATACTACCTCAGGCATCCAAAATAGTTCAACAATTATACAGAAAATCTCTCTTCCTCAATGTAGAAATAAATAGTAATGCCGTTCTGAATTTATAAGGTAGAAGCCAAAAATAGTAATAGTTTTCTGAATTTATAGTAGAGGGCAAAGCGAAAAATAGTAATAACTTTCTGAGTCTATATGTAAAGGGCAAAAGCCAAAACGGTAATTCTTTTCTAAATTTATAAGTAGATGATAAATACAAAAATGGTAAGGAATACCTTTCTGAATTTATAAGTAGATGGTAAAAGAAAAATAACAAAGATTCACCGTATGAAGAAAATGAAAAATAACAAGGACCAGATTAGACCAGTGTATGAATTCTCACAAAACAAGGCTGCTTTATTTTTGTATTTCTAGTTACCAACCTCAGCAGCTGCCAGAAACATTTTTGCTAAAGCAAGCTTCATAGAACTTGATATTGATTTTGTAAGCCCAAAGTCAAGCAAAATGGGGCGATGTGGGGGGTCCTTGCTCACAAGAAAGTTACCTAAAAAGAAAAGAGGCACAAAGCAAAAGAATGTATTAATCTACAACAAAAGGGTTATTGCAAGCACAAGAACTATAGTTGCAAAACTAAGCTGGCCTGTGATTTATCAATGAGGTGTTCACAAAACATTTTATTTATCCACTAAAGTTTTTCTAGGGAGACTTATAAGAAAATTACTCTTTGGTAAATATATTTCACTTTCTCTGGATTATTAGTCCTCTGGAAATGTCAACAGTGCTCCTTTAATGTCCATGGAAATTCATGATGTCTTATGGAGCATTTGGAAAATAAGGAATACAATAGTTTTCAGGTTTGAGTTTAGACCTTTTCAGGTGCTGATTGAGTTGGTCATCATAAGAGTGATTCACTGGATAGTGGGTTTGAGAGCTTGATAGTACAACAGACTCATCATTAGTTTGATGTATGATTGCAAGATATCATCTTCTTCCTATGTTGATAAGCAACCTACCAAGTAACTGTCAAACTAAACTTGGATGGCTGCTCTATGGGTAACCAAGGACCATCAGATATAGGTACAAGAAGGTTATCGAGAACAAAAACAATACGGTTTATTTTATTTATTTATTTTTTGAAACTGTAAGGTAAATTAATTCATTAAAAACAAAAGGGATGGAAGGAATGGCAGTTTATTTTCTTATACAGGAATGGCAGGAAGCTGAGATTATGCTTTAGGTTAGGAGAGCTACTGGCTCCCCTAAAGTGTTTTACATTTATCATTCTTTAAGGAATTTGATAGGATTATCATTGAGGGTATTTCATATGTCATAATTAGTTGGATGAGGTGGGGACAGGTGGCATTAAGGCATGACTATTAGATTAGAAAGATTAGGTTTCCAAAAAATTTCAATTCTTTTTCTTCACTTGGGATTAACCTGCAGTCAGTTCTTTTTCTCGTTACGCGCACACACACACAGACACAAACCAACCCTGGCTCTGGGTTTAACAGCCATCATTGAAAGGCTAACCCTTCTTGGCTGTAAAACCAGGAGAGACAGGATGTTGCTTCCTTCATGATAGTGCCAAAATGTATTTGAAAAGAACCATAGAGAAAACATACCAGGATGTGGATCACCATTGAAAAATCCATCAACATAAATTTGGTGGGCATATGCACGTGTTATTTCTTCCACAAGCCTTTGTTTATGAACACCCAAGGCCTCTAGTGCCTCATGGTCATTCAGGCGAATTCCATCCATATACTCCAAAATTAGAACTTTTTCAGATGACTGTTATTGGACCAAAAGAAGGAAGAAAGAGATATAAAGATAAGTGAGAGCAAAGGAAACTCTAAGTAAGATGAAAAAAATCTAACTATTAGACATAATAGTTACTAAAACCAATCTAAAGGAGAAACTAAAAGGGGTTGGGCCACATAAAATTGTCATTAATAACTGGAGCCTTTTTCTGTAAAAAAACTGGGTAATACTCATATGTCCATGCGTACATTCATCCAGTATTTACTTTAGAATGTTCTTGTATTTCTCAAAGTCCTAAAGGTTCAATTAATCACATGGATGATATCACCTGCTTGGGTTAATTTTGATGTGGAGGCACTTCTATTTGAGTCTGGATCTGCTATGTGGAGGCACATTGGGGAGAGTTCCCGATGTGTGGCCGTAGTGTCCTGTGCATAGCATGCACACAGATTTTTGCATGCAGAAGATATTTTTCTATTTGTGTCCCACATGTTGGAAACCTTTAACCGTATTGTGCCCTATGGCATGAGTCTACAATATTATAGTACCTAAACTACCCTAATGTAAACAAATTTTTTTTCTTCAATATAATAAAACTTCTTAGAATACCAATGGTAAGCACTGGATGTAATTTTAAAACCAAATTGGAATTAGTCAACAAAAACATGCATACCAATAAGTTGCAAGTTTTACTATGACACAAGGATAGACCCACAAAGGGGCTATTGGATATACATGTTTGTGCAATCTGGCCAATATCCTTATGAGAGCAGAAAGAACACCAATCAAAATCTTGTGCTCAAACCAAGACAAACCAAAATTTCTCTCTATCTCTCTCTCATATTGACAGGTGGCAGTCCATACCAATCTGATATGGGCCGATACATTACAATAAGTTGCAAGTTTTACTATGACACAAGGATAGACCCACAAAGGGGCTATTGGATATACATGTTTGTGCAATCTGGCCATGTCCAGGTTTAATAATATTATGGCATTTAACTAGTGATCTTGCTTGCAAGTATATGATATTGAAATATTGCAATCACATAAGTTGCAACTTTTGCTATGACACAGGGACAGGCCCATAAAAGGGGCCATCAGATATACAGGTTTGTGCAATTTGGCAATGTTCAGGTTTAATAACATTATGGTATCGTTAGATATATCATAACATTTTTCCCTTATTGTGTATTTTTTAGGACTTAAAGTCTTAGAAGGTGATTGGGAGTGGTCATGAGAAAAATGGAGCATATCTTCTAGAAGTACCAAAGAGAAGCCTGTTAAAAGCAACAAAATGTGAATTTTGAGTCAGTGATTTCAAAGTTAATAAATCATATATTATGCTTGGTCACTGTCATTTGGATTATTGTGTCTTTTTCTTCTATGATTTTATTATTTCCAGAGTTATTTAAAAGTGTCAGTTTGTCTAGTATTCATTGTTAAACATGTTAGTTATCAAACATCGGAGAAACTCATATTCTTCAAGTAATAGAAGGTCTAGGTTTCCTTTTGAAATTGTGCACTTTGATGTGTGGAGTCTGTAACATAATCCCTTTATAGATGGCTATAAATATTTCATATTATTTATTGATGTTTTTTCCAGATTCACTTGGCTATACTTGATGCATTTCCATGAAGTCTCTAAACTTGTGATGCAATTCCATCAATTGATTCTTACCCAATTTAATACCCCTATTAAGGTGTTTTTTTCATATAATGCTGAGAAATACTTTGAGAAGGGTCTGACTTCATACCTTCATGATTTTGAGGTTATTCATGAAAGCATGTGCCTACACCCTCAACAACATGGGGCAGATGATAGGAAAAATTGATATATTATTGAAGTTTCCAGAAGCAAGGATCAAAACTTTGCAATGTACCGGCCCATATCAGATGATACATATTGTATCAGTGATCCATTGGTATGCTATTATAGACATTATTTTGGGGTTTGACCTGTTTCAATGGGTAGACAGGCCTTATACCGACCCCCCTTAACAGGTTTGAAAAAAAAAAAACTAAAAAGTGCCTATCAATACAGACTAATACTGTATTGATACTTAAAACCTTGTCCAGAAGCATCATGTTTGCCTTAATGTTCATAACATTTTGGGGGGATGTTCTTACTACTACCTACTTAATTAACTGTATGCCTTCCAGAGTTTTTGGGTTCAAATCACCTTTTAGTCTTCTCTTTCCTTAAGAAGAGATGCTTTCTATTCCTCTTCAAGTCTTCGGATGTAGTTGCTAATTTCACATTCATGGTTCTAAACTTCTAATTGGTCTAAATCTGAACCCAAAACTAGGAAGAGCATTTTCCCATTGACCCAAGGAAAGGTAAACATCAACATCATTCTACCACTCATTACATCTCTAAGTACCTTTCCTATAACCTTTTATCTCCTTATTTTTCCTTTCTTTTGTTTCCTAATACATTCCTAAGAATGTATTAGGCACTCTCTAAACCTAAATGGAGGGATGCTATGAGAGATGAAATGGATGTATTACAGAATAATCAGACATGGGATATTGTTATTTGCCTATAGGGAAGGAACCAATTGGTGGTAAGTAGGTGTTCACTATGAGGTATAATGTTGATAGCACTATTGAGAGGTACAAGGCCAAATTGGTTACCAAGGGATATATACAGACGTATGGGGTAGACTACTTGGAGACATTTGCTCCAATGGCTAAAATGAACTAATTGAGAGTGATCTTATCTTTGGTTATTACATATTCATGGCTGTTGTACCAGCTTGATGTGAAGTGCATATGACTCTTACCCCCTGGTATGTACGGAAAAGAAGAGAAGGAGAAAGTATGTTGGTTGAAGAAATTTCTGTATGACCTTGAATAGTCTCCTAGGGCTTGGTTTTGAGAGATTATGAGGTGCTCTCATTCGGGTTGGTTACTGTTGAGCCCAATTTGATCACACATTGTTTGTTAAGCAAAGAGACTCTCTACTTACACAACTCTTATTGTTGTATGTTGATGACATTTTGGTGATTGGCAGTGACTTGTAGGAGACTAGGAGACTCAAACAATTTCTCAGTACTGTGTTTGAAATTAAAGACCTTGGCGAGCTTAGATACTTCCATGGTATGGAAATAGCAAAGACTATAGATGGGTATTTTAATATCCCAAAGGAAGTATGCAATTGATTTGTTAAAGGAGATAGGGAAACTGGGAAGTAAGCTTTCCTCCACTCCCATTGGTTACAAGCATAAGATGCGTACTACAAATGGAGAACTTTTGCAAGACAAGGGAGTGTTTTATAGGTTGATTTGTATATTATTATATCTATGTATGACTTAGATAAAACATTTCTTATGCTATCAATGTAGTTAGCCAGTTCATGCATGCTCTTCTGATACCCATTTGGTTGCAACAAAGGGTACTTTGATGAGTCTAGATCTCTTGCACTTGACATCCTACACAAATTCCTAAACTCCCAATCATAGGATGCCATGTCAACACTTCATCATGTGTGAGTTTCCCATGTGTGAATAACATCAATGAAAGATCCAAATTTTAAACATCCTTCTATCTTATTTTTAAAATTTAAATGTAAATGTAAAAGGGGATATTGACCCAGTCGAAAGGAGAGAGGTTTTTTCTCTTCTTTGGCTCGAAGGATTCCACCCTCACTGACTTAGCACTGCTTGAGATGGTTACTCTCTCTTACCTTTTCTTATGACTGGTCACCATCAAGTGTAGGAGATCTGATGCTTAAGTGAGTAGAGGCCACATTATCTAACAGGGGTAGAAGCTTCTCCTTGACCACCTTCTAGAGTGTGTTATTGATGAAGCTTTGGAACCGGATCATTCTAAAAACTGAGTTTGCACTCTTTCAAAGCCGCTATAGATCAAGAGATAGATTATTTGAGGCTTCTTACTCATTGACTCCATGCATAGACAGCTCTCAACAAACAGAGGAAGACTTAAAAAGCATTTTCCTCCCTCGCCCTTCTCTTCAATTCCTCTGGGAGCCATTGCATTTTTTATATGCTAGAAATAAGATTTAGAAGAGTGTTTGAAGTGTCTATTAATATTATTCATACATGGGAGACCTACACATGATGCGTTTCTGACATGGCATCCTACGATTAAGAGTGCAGGATGTTGAGTGTAAGACATCCGGATTCCACTCTGATACCTAAAAGGTACTCTAGGCCAAGGCATGTTATTTTCCAATCATGTACATACAAGGATAAAGGCTTATACTTACGCAGATTGGGCTGGTTATGTTAACGACAGGAGACTTATCTCAGGTATTGCACTCTTGTTGGTGGAAACGTAGTTTCTTCAAGAAGCAAGAAACAATTTGTGGTGGCAAGGTCATTAGTTGAAGTGGAATACAGACAATGGATAATTGTCTTGATGCCCTCATGGATAATTTTAAGCTAATTTATTGGATAAGTAGAACCAATGTTTTATTGGCTTATGGCTTTTGCTTTTTGCTTTTAAAGTGGGGACCATATTTTATAACTTTAAGATTCCCTTTTAAATATATATTTTAAATAACTATTAACCCCTTGAAAATTTTAAAATGTCTAAATTAACCTTCAAATCATTTGTTAGTACTTTAAAAATTAATTCTTCCCTTGCCTTAATTCATATCTTTCTTCTTCTCTTCTCAGCTCTGAACCCTCTTTTTTCTTGATCTCTGTGCACTATTTTATTGATTAATTATTGAACACTTGCTGTTCTGAATCACAACTGACTGGTATAGAAGGCATATGTACAAAGAATAATCATATAAGAAAAGGTGCTACTACAAAATATAAGAGTTGTATATCTTTGAAACTATAATTAATGAAATGCTTTTCTTACTGATAACAGTGTAGTACCTGAATAACTTCTGGAATCAATACATCCACATGATTCTCCGAAGTGGTATTGTCATGTTTATTTTTGCAGCTTAGGTTTTTGGAGACTGTTCTCGTATTTTCTACAGGTAAAAGAATAATGTGAACCATATCATGTAATCATAAATAGAACATAAATTAAGTACAAAGTGCTATGTGCATGCCACATATCTTCATAGAACGTTTAAATATGTAGTATTTGCTCATAAAATGGGCTTATCATACCAGCTTCATGATTGAAGTCAAGTTCTTTTGGTGCTTCTTTGCACCACTCATCTATCATTGGATTGAAGTCATATTGTGGTTCTGCCCATGCTATCCAATCAACTATTGACTTTGCATTCTTTAAGTCCTGAAAACGAATGGAATATCCAATGATCATATGATTAATAGTAGTCTTACTTTGTCGTCCACATTTGTTTTTAAATGCATTACCTCTAAAATGATTGTTTTGATGCCCTCATGTTGAACTTTGACAACCACCTCCCTCCCATTATCCAAGGTTGCACGATGAACTTGTGCTATCTGTGCAGCAGAATATAATGATTTTTTCCAGAAACAACTCAACAAGGCTGTATCACTGAAAAGAAAATTAAAAATTTTCTAAATGGCATAATCTATGTTTTGATATTTAATGGTAGCAGTTGGTTGAGGATAATACATCCAAGGTCAACCCAGAGCTATCAGTGTTACAGAAATGGTCCAGATGATATAGGGGTGAAAAAGGCCAAAAATAGGTTCCTGACAATGAGAACACTTAATCAAGCATGGGCTGATTGAAATGCCACACCAAATATATATATTTTTTTTATCAATAATACCACACCAAATATATTAATATTTCCTTTCTGGAAAATGTTTAGTTATTTCTTTTACTTATATCTTAATTATTAATTCAAAAACATTAATAATCTACCAGTATGGGAGACTCTACAAAGGCTGAATTAGTGGCTATTCATTGTGGGATACAAAAAGAAAACTAGATGAATTGATAAAGAATAGTTGTTGAAGGTGACTCTCAATTGGTGATAAGGTGGCTCAGAGACGAGAAGACAGCAGTTAGGAGTTATAGAGATGTGTTAAAGAAAATTAAATGGTTAACAAGGAATATGGTGATAAGCTATCAGCGGGCACCCAGGTTGGAAAATGGCTTGGCTGACATTTTGACCAAGAAAGAGGTAAACAGGAACAGATGTTCTAGGTTCAGTTGTAATTACTTTTTCTTTTCTGGTTGAGATAAGCTTATCTCCCCATGAGTTGCTATATGTATAAACTATCTCCTGTTCATATTAATAAAATGTGTTACTTTTATCTATCAAAAAAATTAATAACCTATATGTTTTCTATGGATTGCTTTTATTTTTCTTTAAGATTCCTCCAGATTAAAGGTTGACAATGTCTCTGTAGAAGAAGAATGGGGATGAGTTCTACAAATGCTTTTATTCTGAACCTTACACTTTCCAACCAAAGCTTGGGTTGATGTCTGGAATGATCTTGCATGAGGTAAAAGATTAGAAACAGAAGTTATGGAAAGGACAAAGTTCATGAACTGTACAGCTTCACCATGCACTAATGCAGGCATTGTTAAGAGGCCTGAACAAGCGATCTTACTATGGTTTTCCAGGAACTTGATGGAAGAGTCTTTTCTGATAGAGGGTTCATTACTCCTATTCCCTAGGTGGAAGGTTCTATGAGCTTATGGATTTCTGGCCTATCATCCTTGTCAGAAGTACATATGGATCATAGTCAAGTTTCCCTTGATAAGAACTTGAAGTATTGATTTTTCTCATCTTTATTTCCCAATCAGCATTTTCTGCATTTATGTAGAAACTTGTTTGCCAGAGATTGCATTGGGAAGAAAGAAATGCAAGACTGTTTTCAGACAAGGAAAGAAGATAAGTTGTCATCGAAACCATTATGGTGAGAGTGGTTCGTCGGGTAAAATTTATGGAGACATTTGCTGATTTCTCAACAGGTGATATCATGAATAATTGGACGGAGGTGGCTAGTTCTGGTTGTCACAAATCCAATATAAGCCCTGCTTGGTCTCCCCTAATGATTGACAACATCAAGCTAAACCCTCTGGTATTGGAGGGGTGTTTATGGATAGTGAAGGCAGAATTTATTCGTCTATATTCAGGCCCAATTGGAGTAGGTGGCTCGTTAAGGGCTGAGGTTATGGCGGTCATTGAAGGTCTGCAAAAGGCAAAAATGTTGAATGTAAGAAGGCTTATTATAGAAGGTGATTCAAAGTTTGTAGTGGAGTGGTTGCAAAAGGAAGAAAAGGGTTTTTGCATCTTCAACAATGAAAAGAAGAGATTCAAGTGGATGACTCAAGATATGGATGTGCAATTCAGTTGGGTTAAAAGGATGGAAAATGGTTTTGCTGATGTCTCACCAAAACAAGGGGTGGGAAGGAATCATTTGTTTTGGGCTCAATTGTAATAGCAAATTTGTCTATGGAGAGTTAAGATAGTTTACCTCTCCCAATCTTGTAATTGTTATAACTCTAATGAAATTCTGTTATTGATCAAAAAATAAAAGTTCTTAAAGATTTGTCTTTTCTAACCCCTCCAAACTCTTCCCTTTACTCCTAAAATCATCCCTAAGCCCTTTCTAACCCATCATTACTCTCCTAAGATCATCTTCAGTCATTCTAATTCTACATCATTGGTAGTGGTAGTGAGACTTTTCAATCCGAATTTCCTAATGCAGCCCAAGAAGAGAGGGACGATTATGTGGAAAGCAGTCAGGATAGAAGTGGTTTTAACTATTTAGGAGGAAAGAAATAGAAGAATTTTCAATGAAAAATTGCAGGTCAAAGAAGGAAATTGTTGAGATTATAAAGATCAAAGTTGCACATTGGATAAAAACACTTTAACTTTTCCAAAGCTTTTCAGTGACTGAAATAATAAGGGTGTGGAATGAAGTGGCACAGACTACCAAAGAAAAGGAAAGAGAGGTAATGGAATGGAAGCCCCCAGCAAGTACTAATATAAAACTGAATTTTTATGGGAGCTTCATGGGAAACCCAGGAATGGCAGGTATTGGAGGTGTTTTTAGAGACTCTTAAGGCAGGGTGATGGCCATGTATTCAGGACCAATAGGGTTTGGAGATTCACTAAAGGCTGAACTGATGGCTTCATTGCAAGGCTTAAAATTTTCTAAGCAGTCTAACTTCAAGAACTTGGAAGTAGGAGACTCAAAACTGATTGTCTATTGGACCACTACTAGGCACCTTGTGCCTTAGATTTATAAGCATTCGCAGTTGTTTTGGCATTATTGTAACTCTTTTGATTTTGGGTACTGAATCATTGCCTACTGTATCCATAGGTGGCTGGATAACCACTTTTCTGTAATTTCTTGTTTCCACATATTAATACAATTAATAAGATTTTCTAGATGATAAAAAAAAGATCTACATCATGGTATCAAAGCAATAAGTGCTACATTGTTAGACAGTAATATAGAAGCTTCAATCTTCTACAAATTTACTATTCTCATTAAAAATCAAAACTAATATTGATAGTCATGCTCAGACTTACTATTTAAAATAATTCCCATAACTACTGTTTACAGCAAAATCACAACTTACTGTTTTTAGTAATTTTTGTTTCTGTTTTCTTGGTGCTGAGATGGTATGATTCCAGAATAGAGAGAAGAGAAGGAGAAGGGAGGAGAGAAAAGAGGGGAGAGAGAGAATTAAGAGAGACAAAAGTCAACTGGCGGCGCCAGTTTAATTGGTATTTATACTAGGGCAATCATACAGAAATAAGAAAGGGTAAAATTACAAAGGTACCCTTGCGGCACTAAAAATAAACTAAGATATTTCAACACTCCCCCTCAAGTTGGGACGTAGATGTCAATCATGCCCAACTCGTCACATAAATCATCGTGCCACGAGTGATGTAAGCCTTTTGTAAATATATCTGCCAGTTGCTCTTTGGAACTCACATATGGAGTGCACACTTCTCCATTAACAATTTTCTCTCTAATGAAGTGTTTGTCAATCTCTATATGCTTAGTTCTATCATGAAGAACTGGGTTGGCTGCAATATTGATGGAAGCCTTGTTATCACAATACAAGGACATAGGGCCATCAACAGGAAAACCTAGTTCGTTCAACAAATTCTTTATCCACATGCCTTCAGCCACCCCATGGGACATTGCTCTATATTCAGCTTCAGCACTAGACCTAGCCACGACATTTTGTTTCTTACTTCTCCATGTGACTAGGTTTCCTCCCACAAAGGAACAATACCCACTAGTAGACTTTCTGTCATCAACTGATCCAGCCCAATCAGCATCTATATAGACTTCAATCTTCAAATGACCATTCTTTTGGTATAACAAACCAGCTCCAAGAAACCTCTTTAGGTAGAGTATTCTTTCTGTTGCCTCTAAGTGTGTGGTCTTAGGAACGTGCATGAACTGACTAAGAACACCAACTGCACAAGTAATGTCAGGCCTGGTCATGGATAAATACAGGAGATTTCCCACAAATCTCTGGAATTGTTTTACATCTTTGACAACTTCACCACAACAGTCACCCAGTCTGTGATTTGGATCAATGGGAGAGTCGGCTGGCTTAGCCCCTAGTTTTCCTGTATCCTGTAACAGATCTAGGATGTATTTCCTCTGAGAAATCAAGATCCCCTTTTGAGAGCGGGCCACTTCAATTCCAAGGAAATATTGAAGGGGACCTAGATCCTAGATCCTTCACCTCAAATTTAGTGGCTAAGAAATCTTTTAGTCTCTGAATTTCAACCTTCCAGTCACCTGTGATCACTATGTCATCAACATACAATATCAAGGCTGCAATCTTTCCTTCCCCTCTTTTCACAAATAGTGTATGGTCAGTATGACATTGTTTGTAGCCAATTTGTTGTATAGCCAGATGAAACTTGCTGAACCAGGCTTTCATACAAAGACTTCTTTAGTCTGCACAGTTTTTGGTCTTTGCCTTGGGCACTAAAGCTAGGAAGTTGGACCATGTACACCTCTTCCTCAAGGTCTCCATTCAGGAAGGCATTTTTAATGTCTAGTTGATGAAGATCCCAATTCAAGATTTGCCACAAGGGAGAAACAAACTCTAATGGAGTTTATCTTGGCTACTGGGGCAAAAGTCTCTACATAATCTACACCATATATCTGGGTAAACCCTTTTGCCACCAACCTAGCCTTGTACGTTTCTATTGTGCCATCAACCTTGTGCTATACTGTAAACACCCACTTGCATCCTACCGGTTCCTTACCTTCAGGGAGATCCACTAATTCCCACGTACCATTTTTATGTAGGGCATTTATCTCTTCTTTCATTGCATCTGTCCATTCAGGTACCAAGAGAGCTTCTGCCAAAATTTTTGGGATAGGGATGTTGTCAATGGAAGAAATGAATGTAAGAAAGGAGGGTGAGATGTTCTCATAGGTAACAAAATGGGTAATAGGATACTTGGTGGTACAAGACCTAACTCCCTTCCTTTTTGCAATAGGAATGTCAAGGTCATCACCAAAAGGAATATCTA